ATCTACTCACCTCCCATCCAGTAGTTACACAAGCTAGGCGACTGACAATCTCCTGAATCTACTCACCTCCCATCCAGTAGTTACACAAGCTAGGCGACTGACAATCTCCTGAATCTACTCACCTCACATCCAGTAGTTACACAAGCTAGGCGACTGACAATCTCCTGAATCTACTCACCTCACATCCAGTAGTTACACAAGCTAGGCGACTGACAATCTCCTGAATCTACTCACCTCACATCCAGTAGTTACACAAACTAGGCGACTGACAATCTCCTGAATCTACTCACCTCACATCCAGTAGTTACACAAGCTAGGCAATTGACAATCTCCTGAATCTACCCACCTCACATCCAGTAGTTACACAAGCTAAACAAATGACAATCTTCTGAATCTACCCACCTCACATCCAGTAGTTACACAAGCTAGGCGACTGACAATCTCCTGTATCTCATCAATTTCTGGATCCCTGGTGATCAGAACAATGCATTCTCCTTGATGGTAAAATATCTTCAAACTAAATAAAAGAATAAACATACCAAAATTTTGCTTTGTCAGTTTCATTAGTAATCACATGAGCAGAGTTTAAAAATAAAGATTTATAGTTACTTGCTAAAAATATAAAACAATAAGATGCACACCACTAGGTTTTATGACTTTCAGGCTATTGGTATGTAAAAATAAGTCTTGAGAAACTCTTACAAACTGGACAGCTTTATTTACTAGTGAAGATGTGCATATATTATGATTTATACACACTCATTTAACTGTGATAGTCATGACCAGCAAACTGGTTTAACTGTGTGAAGAACAAACATGATCAAAAACAATCGTCTTCACTCATTTGTATAAAATAACCATCAAAACAATAGTCACTCATACTTAGATCACCATATAAAAATCAGAAGCATACCAGCCTGTATGAGATGACCATCCAAGAACTGAAGCTGAAGGACATGCAAAAATAATTTCTTTTGTGCTTTCTTCAATCAAGACAATGGTGTGTGCCGATATTCCCAGTAAACAATTGATCTTACACAGTTCCTCAAAATCTTCAACCTACCAAGAAGTTTAAGTATTTATCATGTTACTACTAAAGAAAAATAACCAATCCCTAAAATTTAACAAAGAATAAAAACTTATGAATAAAACGTATCCCCAAAATTAAAGTACATAAGAAGTTCCTCTCATGCTAGGTTTCCACTGAAATCATATATTTCAATTACTGCTACAGTGGTTTGTCTCTTACCATTAGGAGCTTTTTTAAAACAATATAGAATGAATTAAAATCAAGATTCAATCATAGTTTCTTAATTAAAACTGGAGGGTGGTATGGGATATGTCTTTATAGAATAAGCTGCTAAACTCTGGAGGACGGCATGGGATATTTATTTATTTACACAATAATTTGCCAAACCCTGAAGGGTGGTGTTGGATGTCTTTACAGTACAAGTTGCTAAACCATGGAGAGCAGTATGGGATGTCTTCACAGAATAAGCTACTAAACCCTGGAGGGTGGTATGAATATGTCTTTACAGAATAAGTTACTAAACACTGGAAGGCAGTATGGGATATGTCTTTACAGAATAAGTTACTAAACACTGGAAGGCAGTATGGGATAAGTCTTTACAGAATAACTTACTAAACACTGGAGGGTGGTATGGGATATGTCTTTATAGAATAAGTTACTAAACACTGGAAGGCAGTATGGGATATGTCTTTACAGAATAAGTTACTAAACACTGGAGGGTGGTATGGGATATGTCTTTATAGAATAAGCTACTAAACCCTGAAGAGCGGTATGGGATATGTCTTTACACGATAAGCTGCTAAACTCAGGAAAAAGGTTTCAAATAAATGCTAATTAATCCTATATATATGGGTTCATCAATTTGATCTACTTTGTAGCCATGGTACCTTAACTCTGAATGTAATAAATTAAAATTAACAAAATTTGGCAAGCTGTTAGTAAATGTTACAACTTTGCTGTTCACAAAAAAATCTTTTTTTTTTCCCATAAAGTATTTTTTCTAGAGATTTAGTTGTGAATTTATGAAGCCTTTACTGAGTCAGTCTGAGATGAGTGATTTTAATGTTAAAAATACTTCTTATTTCCCAGTTTTCATATTTCAACTAATGAACCTCTAAAACCTACTACACACTCATCAAAAGTCTTTTCCTTGGTAAAAATTTTAAATTCTATCTTTTATTTTCTCTACCCTAATTATGAATGTAAAGTGAAAAGTGGAGAAAAATAAAATAAAATCAAAAATTTATTTATCATAACCTTTTCACATATACTTTCTTTTAATTTTATGGTTTTCTTAGTGTATTTGGAAGTCTTTGGGACTGTAACAAGCAATAAATCTCCCAGCAGGATAACAGAGAGCTTAGGGTAAACAATCTTTGGTTACAACATCAGGAGAGTGAAGAGTTTAGGGTAAACAATCTTTGGTTACATCATCGAGATGTAACCAAAGATTGTTTACCCTAAACTCTTCACTCTCATCAGGAGAGTGAAGAGTTTAGGGTAAACAATCTTTGGTTACAACATCAGGAGAGTGAAGAGTTTAGGGTAAACAAACTTTGGTTACATCATCAGGAGAGTGAAGAGTTTAGGGTAAACAAACTTTGGTTACATCATCAGGAGAGTGAAGAGTTTAGGGTAAACAAACTTTGGTAACATCATCAGGAGAGTGAATAGTTTAGGGTAAACAAACTTTGGTTACATCACACAAAATATTTTTCTTCCCTCTGGGTTTTCTTACCAAACTTAAGTTTAAGATTTTTACATTTTAGTTACTTTTGTTAAAGATTATATAACAATGAATAATATATATATATATATATATATATAAACAAATTATGCCTATTTCTACTTTGGAATGTACTTTGACAAAAGTATTTTTTTCACACTATGTTGGCTGTCCACAAAATAATTCATGTATCTTTTGAATATGGATGTTATAACACAAATTGCACATAAGGCACTAAAATAAATATTTAAATAAATCCTCAATATCACTTTGCATGTGCGTTACAACATTTGTTCACTCCGATTTGCCCATCCTCTATTTTTTCCATCTCCCCTTTCTGGTGTCCTGAGTTTAACATAAATTACTAAGTACAGTATACTATATTAAAATTAATAATAGTATAGATATTAATTTGAAGATCAAACCCACTTGCCATTCTCATCTATTATATTCTCTTTCACAAATTGATGTTTGCAGTTACATCGTTTATAACCAACAGAAAGACAAAGTTTTAACTTACTAAATGATATATAATGCTACCTTGTTCTCAGTAGACATATTTAGTTATTTGAAAGTTGTTATTGCCAAGCTCAGATTGAGCAGCCAAGGGAATTATTTTAAGGCACATATGCCTTAATCAGAAAGCTAGTTAAATTATAAGTTATAAGGCATTCTTTACTTTGGACTTACTATTTTGTGTTCTTAAGTGCATACTTGAAATAAATAAAAATTATTTAATGTATTAGTACCATCAGTACAAAAAAAAGTAAGATGGCAAAAAACATAAAAGTATTAAATTTCATGTTTCTTTATGTGTATTTTTTATTTACTGTTGTAAAAGCAACTAGAATGTAAAAATTACAAATCTATTAGGTTAAGTAAGTTAGATTGAAAAGCTTAAATAATTACTTTGAGGGTCTTGTGCCTTAGTTAGAAAGTCAGGTAAATTACAATAGTTATAAGACATTTTTTGCTTTGTGTGTTATAATTCTGTGTTCTTAGGTGCTTTATATAAGTAAATAAAAAAATCATTTAGTATTCCTGTACCATTAGTATAAAAAAGTAGGCTTAAATTTTATTGGCAATCTACATCGACAAAACAAGATAGCAAAAGTAAGTATTATATTTCTAATATTTACCTTTATATTCTTTTTTATTTTTATAAAAGTAATTAAAATTTAAAAATTAGAAACTTATTAGGTTAGATTAGGTAAGATAAATAAAAATTTGAAAAAGAATTCTTCATGAGGTGTGCTTGCAAGCAGCCTGTGTTACATCATTTAATAGGTAACACGAGTACTGTGTTTGCCTAGAGATTTACAACTTGTGTGGCAGGATTATTAGTTAGACATGGTTCAAAGGGCAATAAAAGAAAAAATTAAGTATAAGCAGATGTATACAGTTGTGAGTATAAATCCATGTAGGATAAACAACTGTTTCCTGTTTCAACCTGCAGTTATTCTAGAAAAAAAAATGGTAATTTAGATTTATTTTGTATTTTTTTTATGGTGGTTACAATGTCAGTCAAATCAACCGAGTCCATATAGAGTTAGGGTAGAGAAAATAAAACATAAAATATAATGTTTTACTAGAAAAAAAAAGCTTGATATTCATTTAGAAGGTTTAGAAGTTACACATATGAAATTTTAAAGTTTTTAGATGAAGAAAAGTATATTTTATCTTATCATGAAATCACTTTCCACTTGAAGCAGTTAACACTAACTCCATATATTCACAGAAAATCTTTAATAAAAATATTTAATTAAAAAAATCTGACTACTGTGTACAAGCGACTTGTAATGTTAACTGAAAAACTTGCCAAATTTCGTGAAGATACACAAAACATTAAAAGTTATAGTATTGAAACTCTGGTAGTTACTTTGAGGTTACAACGTCGGTCACATCAACTGATCCGACATGGAAAGTTTTAACCATATACTTTATCTAATATACCTAAAGATGATTAAAGAGTTACCACAACATGCCCATTTCTTTCTAATTTATAGTTTCTAGATATTGTCTTTTAAAAAAATATATACATACATATAATCTTCACAGAAACTTGTCACAATATAGTATCCCAAAAAGATATTGTTTAACAGAACCACTTATAAAACGGTTTACCTGCACCTTCCAGGATATAGCTCCCTGAATGAAATTGTCTGGGATAAATTTTGGTCGATTACGCTCTTTCTTTTTTCCCCCAAATGAGGGTATAGCTGTGTAAAAAAGAACAGAAAAATAGTAACTTCAAAACGATATTTTTATATTTACACACACACACACACACATTAAATGATTGTTGTGTCATGCTTCTTAACTACAAATCTGAATCTACAGCTCTGACTTTTAAGTGAGATGAAAAAATATGAAAGTGAATTTCTAACTATAGGAGATGACATAATAGCAGTTGAAGATACAGATTGTAACATACAAAATTTTGGCCCAGTCTCCACTGTTGTATTACTGACATGGTCTGTAGCAAGATCTTTCAGCCACTCGAACCTTGTTCTTTGGATCATGGTAACAAACTTTTCTGATTGGTGAGCTGCCTCTTCTGCATTGATGACTGTGAGAAAAGTAATCAAAAATATACCTTCGATATAAGTTGGCCAACATTTACGTTACCCCTAAAGACATCTTAGAGAACAAGTGACATACATAATCAGCCCGAGAGCTTAAGATATATCGTACTATCTGACAGACACATGTAGTTCTATCAGAATAACTAAAACACGTGACTTAACTATTAAACAGGCAAAATTATGAATGATTGATAAGAACAGTCATTTGGATAGCCTATCTGTTACAAAACAATCATGAGAGATCATGTAATTTCAATGAATAATACTCAAAAATAAAGAAATATATATTTCATATCAACATACCTTTTGCTAGAAGAAAGTCAACAAAAGACTTGCACTTTTGGAAAGTTCCACCAGATGGGATTGGAGGCCCAAAAGCTGGGACTTCTTTTGATCGACTAACAGCCACTCTACAATATAGTAAAAATGGAAACACAATAACTATTTTTAATGACAAATTAAACATTGAAGGCAAAAAGAAAAAAAAACAATTAGTTGTTATTGTAACAATTTTTTGTGAAAATTTTAAATTAATAGTAGAAATTTATAGAGTTAATTGAATAATTTTGGAATTTTTTACCTGCAAGTTCAGGCTTTACAACCCCATTCACACAAGTTACACTGAAAATCTGTAAGACGTTCTATGCAAGGCTATGCTTTAATATGGTGATACAAGTGGTTTTCAATTACAAATATGCATTATCTTTTTAATATTAAATAATGATGGTATGAAAGGTAAGACTTAACAGAAATAGAGATGAAAAAAAAAGAAGTATCTACATTGTTTTTCTTTATTCAACCAAATTAAATTTATATAAAAAAAATAACTTATCGTAGGAAAACCATTTCAGTATTGTGTTTGAAGTACTTTTAAACATCTTGAATTAAAAAAAAGGTTGAAGTTTCACGACTGTTTTTACAAATGAAATAAAGTAAAAAAAATGCTAAGAATTATAGTAATTTTTTAACTCCATCTTTAATGACAACATCCTAGCCTCTTAGCCCTTTTTCAGTCTTAAAACATTTGAATACACACTAACCAGTGCTTTTATCAAAATCTTCATTTATTTCAGAATTAACCAACTTTTAAATATAAACTTACTGTACCTGTATGTTGTATTGACAGTGCATGGATCCACAGCTTTCACAACTATGAACACGTGCTGAAAGTTTGAACGGATGTTTTTGGGTGTGAAGGGAAGCGCACCAGGTTCTTGGAATACAATGGTTACAACGTCATTTCCAATATGTCGTTTCCTCAGCACCTAATATACAACATCATAACATAAACTACACACTCAATGTACTAATTCTAATGTCAAAACAATTTAAAAAAATAATTCCCAAACTTCCTTACCACAAACACAGATTACTTTCAATTTAATTCTTTTGCAACTGCCTCGGTGCATTACGCCGACCTAGTGACCACAAAGTAACCATCAGTTTCTATACGATAACTATTAACAACTTTTGATGTTTTGTGTATCTTCATGAAGATTTTCAAACTTTTAGTAAGCATTACAAGATATTTGTAGACAAAAATCAGAATTTTTAATGAAGTACTTTTACTACAAATTTGACAGCGAATATATGAAAAGTGTTGACTGTTCCGAGTGCAAAGTGATTTTTATGTTAAGATCAAAAATACTTTTCTTCATCTGAAAATTTTCAAATTTAATTTGTAATACGTAAAATCCCTAAATAAATGTCAAACTTTATTTTCTGAAAAACTATATCTAATCTGTTATTTCCTCTACCCTAACTCTATATGGAGTTGGTTAATTTGACTGATCTTGTAACCACCATAAATCTTCAAAAATTGAAAAATGTGAAATAAAATGAGTAGTACTGTTCTATCCTTTTTAGTACTGACAAAGAAGTTCCAAAGTACTTCAATGAGTGCGTACATCACTTCAATAAGTGTGTACGTCTAACTCTTTCACATCTATTTCTTATGTACATGTCAGCTGATGAAGTAGAAGTCTGCCAAACATGAATCACCACTCCTGCCATTAGACTGTTTAAGTGACACCATCAATAGCAAATAAGTTCATGCTGAGCAATTACCAAAACTTTCCCATAGAGGTTATAATAATCCCAACTCCAAGAACACAGTGGGAGAGGATTTATCAGCTTGTTTGCAGTACAGTGATTGTAATGAGAATTGTCTAAAATAATGAAAGTATATGATATGGCTCTGTACAAAGTCTGGGCTCATTCAGTAAACTTGGTATATATGTTGATGTCACTTATCCTTCCAGGGTAATAAGAACTTAGCAGTATACATGTACAAATTACGCTTATGAACATGTATACATATTTTTTACTGTTTACTCATAAAAGTTCAATTTTTAGCTATTTTTCTTAGAACATAGAACAACAAATAAAAAAAATATATAGAGAGAAAAACAATGACTTCTAGTACTTACGATGCTACAAAATTGATTTGAACTCGTACATTGTACTTGCTAAGCCTTGCCGTAAGCCTTGTTTATTTTCTTAAATAAAGTGCAAAGACAAATTAATTTTTGTAAATTTCAAAGACGTATTTTAGAAAACCAAACAAATAATTATCAGATTGCTATACTGGTTCACATAAAACCACTGTAATTTATCTGGCTTTCTAACTAAGGTATATGTGGGTTAAAAAAAATCTCATTTCTGCCCAGAGCAATGATTTAGTCAACAGACTTCCCAATTTCCAGTGAAATTACAAGTTCTTATTCAAGCCAATTACAAACGGCTGTCAGATTTACAAAGCTTGGGAAGTGCTCTTTCTATTGGTTATAAACAAGTACTTAAGATGAGTAGACAAGAGATGTAAAATGAAAGTAGTGTGTGAGGCTAGCCTGGTAGATTTGCAATGTATAATGAAATCTCAGAAAATCAAACAGGTAAGAACTTCTCATTTTAGATTCTACCTTGTAAATGTTTGAAATTGGAGGTTCTAATTCCTTAACCACTATATAAATTGTATGATAGGCATAATAAAATATAAACTGAGCAACATGACTCACAAAAAAACATTTTTAGCATTTTTTTTCTTTTTTTTGAATTAAGAAATTAAAACATGTATTAAAATTTGAACTATAAACTATATTGTGATTCCAATTTCATTGACATACAAAGATAATAAAAATGTTTAGTTAAATTTGGAAAATAACTCTAAAATGTCATGACATGTACCCTTTGGCCTGTCCATACAGACGGTTAATGTGTTTAATTTCAAACATTTTATGATACTTTCTATACATATTCCTTAAGGTATTGCCAAAACTAGCTTCCACAAATCCACTGTGCCAGTTTCTATAACAACATAACTAAACTAACTTACTTTTAAATGTTGAGGGTGTACAACCGTAAACTTAATATTCAATAAATCTTTACTTCTCATATAAATGTTGGGAGTGTACAACTGTATAGTTATTATTCAACAAATCCTCACTTCCCATATAACTGTTGGGAGTGTACAACTGTATAGTTATTATTCAACAAATCCTCACTTCCCATATAACTGTTGGGAGTGTACAACTGTATAGTTATTATTCAACAAATCCTCACTTCCCATATAACTGTTGGGAGTGTACAACTGTATA